AGTAGCAGTAGTAGTAGTAGTAGTAGCAGTAGTAGTAGTAGCAGTAGTAGTAGTAGTCGTGGTGTTGGTGGTAGTAGTAGTAGTATTAGTATCATGATAGTAGTAGTAGTAGTAGTACTACTAGTAGTACTACTAGTAGTACTACTAGTAGTACTACTAGTAGTACTAGTAGTAGCAGTAGCAGTGGCAGTAGCATTAGTAGTAGTAGTAGTAGTAGTAGGAGGAGTAGTAGGAGTAGTAGTAGTAGTAGTAGGAGGAGTAGTAGGAGTAGTAGTAGTAGTAGCAGTAGTAGTAGCATTAGTAGTAGTAGTAGTAGTAGTAGTAGTAGTAGTGAGACTAGTAGTACTAGTAGTACTAGTAGTACTAGTAGTACTAGTAGTACTAGTAGTACTAGTAGTACTAGTAGTAGTAGTAGTAGTAGTAGTAGTAGTAGAGGTAGTAGCAGCAGCAGCAGTAGTAGTAGTGGCAGTGGTAGTAGTGGTTGTGGTTGTGGTTGTGGTTGTTGTGGTTAATAGTGGTAGTAGTGGCAGTAGTAGTCGTCGTAGTCAGTGGTAGTGGTAGTTGTAGTTGTAGTTGTTGATCCATCTATCTGTCTAAGTCTGTCTATCTGCAAGCTTGAAAACGAAGCCATTCTGCGAGACTTCCTCAATTTTTGAATTCGACAACGTCGAAAACGCAGCAACTCTGTGAGACTTCCTCAATTTTCCAAGTTGGCAATATCAAAAACGAAGCAATTCTGCGAGACTTCCTTCAAAAATGGAACGTTGAGTGCAGAGCTGACGGCCTCGTACCAATGCGTTTTGCGATTTTTCCACTCCACCTGTTTGCCATGAAAAAGTGATGCCAGCTCAGGAAATCTCCGCCCTGATCTCCTAACACATGTATCTCATGTGTCTCTTTTACTGCACCTGTCACGCGAAATTCATCTTTCCAGATCCTCTTCAAATGTCCCACACCTGCCATCGTTTTTGAAACTGGTACAAAACCTTCATGTTTTGCTCACTTTTGACAAGGTGCACAATCCCCTGCGCCTGCCGGGCAAAACGACATTTGAACGTCCAAAAGTGCTCCGTGGCCGTACCCCTCAGGTTTTTCGCGCCACAACGGCGTGCTCCCCGGGCTCCCCCTCAACTTGCAAAAGCGTTTTGTAAAATTTGACTTGGAAATATGCTTCGCGCAAAAACAAAACGGCGTGCACTTTTTCAACATCTCGACTTCGAAATGTGCTTCGCGCCACAACGCCGAGCATTTTTTCGACATCGCAACTTCCAAAAGTGGTCCGACCCTGGTGTGCTTTGTACATTTTGACTTCCAAATGTGCTTCGCGCCACAACCGCATGCAACTTTTCATCTCTCATCTGGCCAGATGGCTCCGCACCCGCCGCTTTAGCGAGCCTACTTTTTGACCCTCCGGAGCCACAAATCATTGGATAAACACAGTGCTTCGCAACTTTCCTACCTTTCGCGCGCCTGGATTTTATTCTTCTGAGACTTTCTCTTAGTTGATCTTATTTCTTGACATTCTCTTCTCTTCTCTGACTCTTCCCATCTCTGCTTTTCATCTGCCCATTTTGTCTGAAGTTTGACTTCTAAACTTCCTTCGGCTAATCATTGTTTTACCCACATTAGCTGGATTAACCAACAAAAACGAAGGGTTAACCATCAAATGTCGGGTTGAACCAACAGAAATTGGGAGTAACCATGATTTTACATTAAATTAAATGGGTGCGGATCAAAGTTAAAGACCTGGGGGACCGCATACTGGAATATCTATTTGCGGTATTAACCATCCAATGATTCGGATACCCAATTTTGATCCCAAATAACTGGGAATGTAACCAACAAAAATGGATGGTTAACCGACAAAAAATTGCAAGAATTTTAACAAAATAATCCAAGATTAACCATGATCAATCATCAAAAATTGGGAATCTATTCAAAATTGGGAATTTAAGCAACAGAAATCTTTAGTATAATGGGGATATACTGGGATATGATCGGATATAATGGTGATGCAGCGAAATATGGCTGCCATTTTTCACATGTTTTTCATTGATTCAAGCACCACTCGGCCAGGACTACACACAGACCCTGAGCCCACGGAAACAGCTGCGGCTGATACCCAGGGTGAAGGAACAGAAGATCCATACAGCAAAGCACCTGCAGACACAGCAGAGGCAGAGACTGCAGATGCAAAGCCACCTGCGGATGTAGAGCCACCAGCAGCTACAAAGAGCAAGCCGGAAGAACCCCAGACAGAAGCAAAACCCACCCCTGGGGAGGGAACAGAGGATCCGTATAGCAAAGCACCTGCAGATGCGGAGACACCTGCAGAAACAGAGACACCAGCAGCAAAGACACCTGCAGCTACAGAGGCACCTGCAGAGGAGACACCTGCAGCTACAGAGGCACCTGCAGAGGAGACACCTGCAGAAACAGAGACACCGGCAGCAGAGACACCTGCAGAAACGGAGAAACCTGCAGAGGAGACACCTGCAGAAACAGAGACACCGGCAGCAGAGACACCTGCAGAAACGGAGAAACCTGCAGCTGAGGAGACAGCCACTGCGGAGACACCAGAGGAAAAACCGGCAGATGCAGAGGAAAGCGAAGAATCGACGAGCCCCGGAATTTGCTGTAGAGTTGCTTTGGTTGTCAACTAACATACCCTGCAATTGCTGGATGGTCAAGAGATATCAGAATCTGACTGCCTATCATTTTCGTAGAGTCCAGGTTTGGCCCGTTGGTCAGATAAAGATCTAAACCTTGAATCGGCATCGTCACCACCACCACCACCACCACCACCACCACCACCATCAGCATCAGCATCAGCATCATCATCATCACCATCATCATCATCACCATATCATCATCATCATCATCATCATCATCATCATCGCCATCACCATCATCATCATCACCATCATCACCATCACCATGACAACCAACATCATCACCATCATCATCATCATCACCAATAAACTAAACATCAATACCAACAGAAGGAGCAATATTAATATATAAAGATGTCAGACACACAGAATATACACGTGTGTGATTATCAATAAAAAGGTGTGTGTGTATATATATATAATATTGTAGAACCCAAAAAGATCCAAAAGTCGCAGGAGTTTATCGTAAAATCCATCTTTTTTGTGGTGTTACTCTATATATTGCTGGTAAATGTTGGTAAGCGATAGTAAAATTGCTGGGGTATACGACCCATTTATGATAAAATTGGGGATCGTGCATCCTATTGCTCTTCTAACATTGTGTAATACTGAATATTTATATATATATACAGTGTTTTACTATTTCTTTACTATTTCTTTACTATTTGGTGCTCTATTTTTTGTGGTTTTCTCATTACATATTTATATATAAACCAAGAAAATCCAGCATTTAACCACCATGTGCTGTTTTGCTTTTATTCCATATTTATATAGGTGTTTCCATAAATGGGAAACCTCCAATAGCTGGATGGTTTGTTACATGGAAAATCCCAAACAAAAATGGATGATTTGGGTGTACCCCCATGACTTAGGAAACCTCCATGCCATTTGGGATATCATGGATTATATATACATTTTTTTGGAGAAATCATCAACAATGAGATTTGATTGATATGATATTTCATGGATATGATATATGGATAAGGGTCTTCTCCATATATCTATAGGTGGGATATATCATGATATATCTATAGTTTGTGGATGTTTATGGCTTATGGGATATAAACATATTATCATTATTGTACTCTAGTCATTTATGTTAATAGTTATAACTCAATATGATGATAGTTATATAATGTTTTATACCAACTATAGATTTAGTTATTGTATATTGTTTCAAACATTTTTTATTTTCCATAATATATGGGATAATCCGTCCCGTTGACTGATATTTTTCAAGATGGTTAAAACATGTTACCACCAACCAGGATATATACCATCTCGTTATTTAACATAGCCATGGAAAATCACAATGTTTAATAGGTAAACATAGGTAAACCATCTATAAATGGGTCGTTTTCCATGGCTATGTTAAATAACCAGATGGTACTTGGATAATAGGAGACACTAAAATTGCCATTAAAAATTGCCATTTATAGTGAGTTTTCCCATTAAAAATGGGTGATTTTCCATGGCTATGTTAAATAACCAGATGGTATATCCCATTAAATCCCTTTAAGTCCCATTAAACCATCATTTTCCTATGGTTTTCCTATGGTTTTCTAATGGTAACTATTATTGTATGGTCACCGACAGAATGATGGAAAAAAAAAACGTTCAACTTAGACAGGCGGCGCCTGCGTCCGATTTTCCATAATTAGGTTTTTCCCCATAAGGGTTCAAAATATCCCGGAAGTGATCCGAACCTTTTTTTTCCATAATTCTTGGAGGTGGCCATTATTTCCATAATTGATTTTTCCTGTGAAATCAGGGGGCTAGGGCAGATTGACCGGTTTTTCCATAATTATTTTTTCCATAATTATTTTTTCCATAATTAATGTTTGGGGCTCCACCTGTTGGACATGTCATGGATCCACAATTCAAATCCCTTTTTTTGGGGGGTTATGGAAATATGTATGCAAATGCAAGTATGTAATATCAACCCAATTGGTGGCTTGGCAAAAGGATACATCCCGCATATGTATGTATGTACAACAATGAGTTTTGGTGGTACAATTGTTTTTCCTTTGTTGGTACCACTATGGAAGACTTAGGGGCATATACCAGATCTTTAGACACATATTTTCTATAATTCAATATTCCCCCTTAAAATGCATTCAAATTGCGAATCGATGGACATACAGTCACCGACAGAATTATGGAAAAAAATAATTATGGAAAAAAAAAAGGTTCGTAACTTTTCTATCATAGACAGGCGGCGCCTGTAAATTGAAACGTTTTTTTTTCCATAATTCTGTCGGTTCCTGTACTCTGATCTGTGCCCCAAGGATGACGCAGGAGCTTTGGGAGGCGAAGCAGGGCGGTCTCTGCTGCTTCACGGGCTCCGATTATGACGACACCTGCGGCTCCTGCTATCCCACCGCCGTCGTCCTTGGGCGCTTTAGTCACTGACTCATTTAGCTGGAATGATTCATTTTATTGGGATTTAACCATGAAAACTGGTTATTTAATGGGATTTAATGGTATTTAATGGGATTTAGGGATTTAATGGAATTTATTGGTGATTTAGAGAGATTTATAGGATGTAATGATGTAATGATTCATTTTATGGGATTAGAAATCAGCTCATGATTATTTAATGGAATTTATTGGTGATTTAGAGGGATATAATGCTGTTTAATCGTGATTTAATTGTCATAGGATGAAATATAGTGGGGAAAAATGTATAGATATAATTATATTAAAATTATATATATTATTATATATACATTTATATATATATTATATACAACAGTTTGCTATGTTACTGAGAATCACCTTATCTTAACAGCTAAATCATCGAACTCAACGGGCTATTTAAAATACTATAGCTATGTGAGATTACCGGGGAATCATCAAACATGTGAAAATCTCAGAAATCGACGTTTTTTTCAATCCCAGGTTGGGGGTCTGAAAAAAAAACAGGATTTTTTTCGGCCGCCTTTTTTAGGGGATGTAAATCCATACCCTCTGGTAAACTAACATAACTATTGAAAATCACCATCTTCAATGGGTAAATCCACTATAAATCACCATTTTCAGTAGCAAACTGTTAGTTTATCAGAGGGTAATATGGGGATGTTTTTGGGCATGGTGGCACCCCACTGATCAGGATAACAGCTGAGTTGCTTCAGCACTTGGTTTTATTAAGCCAGCGGGCACCTGTCAAAGACCTATTTCATATGATAAGATATCAATCCCATTATCAATGTTTGATATGGATGTTCCTATTATAGAAACTGAAAGTGAAAGAGCTATATCTTCAGGCAAAAATTGTTATTTGAACTGTTTCAAAAATAAGATTTATCAACTCATATCAACTATAAACTGGTTGGTGGTTTGGGACATTTTTTTTCCCAGATATTTCGGAATAATAACCCCAACTGGTTTTCATAGTTTTCAGGGTGTAGGTTGAAACAACCAAACAGTAAACGATTAGCTCATCACCATTCCATAATTCCATTACCAGTACCATAATTCTGAAAATTCTCCCATAATTCTCCCATAAACCACCACCATTGATTAGAAGACCAAATTCTCGTACCCCAAATCACTGGCAGAATGGAAGACCCCCATATAATTAGCCGTATATATATATATATATATATATATCCCATTCTCCCAGTACCCATATAATTGACCATGGAAGACCCCTCTCCAATGACTGCCCGAGGCCTCGTTCAAGAGTCCCTGCGCCAAGAACGGCGACAAGTGCATGACCTGTGGTGGCTCCTGGTGCCAGCACCTTGGAGCGAAGCTGCTGCAAAGCGGCACCGTGAAATGGTGATGTCATAGGGAGGAAAAAACGCCATGAAAATGGTGATTTTTCATGGAATTTAGTGGAAAAACGGGTGATTTACCATCTGGTTATTTAACATAGCCATGGAAAATCACAATTTTTAATAGGTAAACCATTTATTTCTATGGGCCATCTATACCATGGCTATGTTAAATTACCAGAGGGTGATACGATTGAATGGTAATTGTTCATGGGATGTCACCAACCAGAATGGTGATTAGATATGATTAGTTTAATAATCAAAAATTGATGAAAATTGGTATGTAATACACGTTGATTGAGATTTCACCATGAAAAAGTAAAGATGTTTCATGATCAAAGATCCAGAGGCATCGGCATGAGCTAACAATGTTTACCCTCTGGTAATTTAACATAGCTATTGAAAATGACCATTTATAGTGGATTTTCCCATTAAAAATGGTGATTTTCCATAGTTATGTTAGTTTACCAGAGGGTAATCTTCAAAAGAAGGATTTTACCATGAAACCATTGGTATGTTGCGGATTTTGCCAGGCCACAGGGATTTTTTTGTGGAATCAACGGTTTGAATCAACGGTGGCGAATGAAACCCGTCGGATTAACCAGTTTATGGTGACTAAATCCATGGTAACCAATCATAAAATCTGAATTTCTGATGTCTTTTCCGACTGGTTTGCCCCAAAAAAAGTACGAGAATTTTCGCACCAAATCTCTAAGAACCATGTCATGTTACGCGGATAATGTATATCAAAAGGATATGTCAACCGTTTTTCGCAGTGAAATTCGACCATCGATTGCATGTGACTTTTCTCTTTGGGGTCGAATTTCACAATAGGTAAAAATTGGCCACCAATTGCAATGTTGTTTACTCACCAGCTTAGAATCGGTGTTTTTTTGATGTTTTTGGAGTGGTTTTACGATGATCCTGATGGATTTCGTCGATTTCGTCAAAGTGATGCTATAGCTGCCATAGCTCATGGTTCTACCAGCGGGACTATACTGTAACCGTCATGATTTGATGCTTTTTTGATGGTACCTTCCCAATGAAACAGCTGTAAATCCAGGGTTGACATGTTTCATTAATCTATAATATGGATATCATAATACGAATGAGATAATAATAATATGGATATCATAATCTATTCATTAATCATCAAAAACTGAGTTTGAAGCGACTATAATATGGATATCATGGGATGAATTGGATGATCTTTTTGCAACGGCTGGGTCCCTGGGTGGTCCAAGAAATGGTGGATGAAAACCTTCGGGAGAATGAGGTTGAACAGCCATGAATGGGGACCCTGTTTCTAGAAACATCCAGGGTGTTGAATGAAGATATCGGAGGAACTCCTACGAAGCCTTACGGCGTCATTTTCTGAGTGAAAACCCTTCACGAATTCTTGATTTGCCACCTATGTTTGGTCTAATTTCGGATAGTAATTGAGGTTGATTTGGTCTGAAACTCGGATCCCCCCGTTTATTTGCAATTTTTCCTCATTTTTCCTACATATTTTCCCCATTTCAAATGGTGATTTCGCCAGTTCCCCAAGGCCCAAGTGCGTCATCGGCGCTGCTGATCCCAACAACATGTGCAAGACGGCCTTCGACACGGGCGCCGCGGCCCCAACAAAAAGCATCGAAAATGGTGGAAGAATGGTGGACAAATATGGTGAAAGCGTGAAAAATGATGTTTTTCGAATTTGTTTAATGTGATTGAATCCTCCTGAATTCGGTACATTTATAGATAGCCAACAAGAAAGCAAATAGTTCCTATTTGGTCCCCCAAAATAGATAGATCAGATACTATATCCAGCTTTTTGGGGGTAAATTTCACTTGGACAAGAGATTTGCAAATGGGCAAATAGCTATAGGGGATTATTCCCCAGCTTATGGTGGTTACATATATGATTACAGAGCTATTCGCTACTTTCCATGTCATTATACTCCCAGCTGCCCAGTACAGATTAGAATTTTCCAATGTTTTCGAGGGAAATTAGGGAAAACCATGGGTTTCAACAGCAGCTAATGAGGTTATATATGGATATCCATAGATGTGTGTATATATATATATATTATGTATATATAATTATATAAAATTATATATATATTATACATATACATATATATATATATATGTATTATACATATACATAGATAGCTTGATGCATCATGCAGATATCTCCAAAAGCAGAGCCATCAGCAGCAGGCATCGCCGACAGCAAGAGCATTTGCGCCAGCAATTCCAGCAGCTGCGCCAGCTGCAAGGGTGAGTGGTGCCGACTAGGTGCGCAACCTTGATGCCGGACAAAAAAACCCTTGAAACTGGTGATTATTTGTAGAAGTGATATTACTAGGGCTTGAATGGGGTATCAATCAATATCAATTGACTTTGATTGACAGTGATTTTACTAACAAAAAAATGGATATAAAGGGATCTTAATAGGACTTTAGTGAGTATTTGTTTTAGACATATTTCAATCGGTGGGGGTGGTATATACGTAGGACTCTAGCAGGATATCACTTGATTTGATTGAATATTTAATGGCATGACCAAAGATATTGGCATCAACATTACACTTTACTGTACCCAGAAAGTCTCTGTAAATCGGCTGGCAGCTGGAAACATATGCCCTTTCCGTGTCTGATGTTACAGATGATCACAGGGGTAATGCTCCCAGCATTGAAAAAGGTGGAACTGTTTGTAGCTCAGTTTACTGAATGTATCAATATTTCAATGGCCATTTCAGCAACCTAAATTGGAGGTACCTACCATATATCAGGCCTATATAAGACCTATGGTGCAGTACCTACAGTTTAGGATCCTGAAATTCCCATTGAATTTCGTGTGATGAATCAGATGGAGCTCATATGTGGATTCCGTCAAAAGTTGGGTAAATTTCAAATTTCCGTTTGTTGGGGGGATTTGAATCAATCCATTTTCACAGAGGTTTCAATCTGATTGCCCAACATGTTCGGATTCCCATCGTGAAAATGATGACTATAATTTATCATCCATTCATCCCATGTAAATGTAATTTGACCATGAAACAATGTGGAACATATATTTGTGTGGATTCAAGCAATCACTCTCCCTCCCTACAGGGCTAGCTTTTGACGTTTGCAGGGGAAATTATCTTTTCTCAACAACTTGTAAACTTTCTTAAAGGGGTATTTACATATATATATATATATATTGCCCGATTATATGCCCATTCATGGTTGGTTGTGTGTATATATATATATACATGCAACCCCCCCAAGACCAAGACCTACCTTTTGTGTAGCAGATATGTTCCTGAATGCCTTGTCTTCCTTCTTATCTTATCACCTATTGTAGCACTGCATCAGGAAAGTATCTTGGGCGCATGCGCCTGGACACATCCTTCCCACATATGTAGCTGCAACATAGTGCTGTAACATCTATGTTTGACATAATTATTCCTTTTTATGTTTTCAGATGTGTTCAGACACTTTTAATATATCTATGATCTGATTCTTGCAAGTCTGCTTGTTCAATATCCTCTACAACATTTGGTATTTTTTCATAACCTGTAGGATTTGCAGCAATATGATTAGGGGAATAGATGGATTGAATTTTTGTTTTTTGTTTTTACCAAAGAGTATCACACGTTATTTTGAAAAATCCTTTTTGATGAATACAACTTTTTGTAAGGTGGAGTTTTTTTTTTTATAATGACTACTGGTGGAATTCATGTTTACCAATTTTGTATGTAGCAATTTGAAATCTTTCAGCTTCTACCGAAACTGAGCTTTGTGCAAGATTCGATGATATAGTTACGCATCTTGAGATTTTACATGTTTATTTACGTAAGATTTTGCAGATAATAAAGGTGTAAAAAGTACAATAGATATGTAAAAGATTGATCTCCAGTTAGAATTTTTAGGCATATTGATGTTATAATGCACTTACCTTTTTAGTTCTCCTACAATTTCATAACAATCCATCGAGATTTGCATAGTAAATTGACAATAACCAATCATATTCTCATTTGATGTTAATTGTCTTATTTGTTCTTGTGAATCAACGTTGTTTCCATTAGCTTTTTCTTCAGCATCTATTTTTGTAGAAGAGTTGACATTGTTCGCTGTAATAATTCATGTTTAAAAGCCTGTATAATGCAGATGATTTTGTAGTTTCATTGCTTTAAATCCAGGAGTGCTTGAGTTAGATATATTATGTGTCAAACATAAATGATTTTGATGATAATAAATGCATAGGTAAAAACACAAATTCTAGATCAAGTTTTAATATATTTGTTATATTGTAAGTTGTCTTACTTTTTGGAATTCTTAATTTTGCGATATGTTTATAGGTATTACAGGAGTTTCTGGCATTGGATAAATATGTAGTATTGAATCTTCAATCTTGAATCCTACCCCCTTGGATTCAAGACGTTTTGTGTTTGGGATCTTGAAACTTGAATCTTGGATCCGATGTACTTAGGGACAGGTGGGATGGCACACTGTAAGTACCACCAACTTTGCTTGAAAGGTAGGTCTTGGGGGGGTACCATATATAGGTATATAATGCAAAAATATAGGAAATCGTATATTGTGTCATGAATATACGTCTATATATATATACCCATATATATGAGTTCCTAACCATATGTATATATGTATACATAATTGGCTTATTCCTGGTGAACTCTGCAATTCTTTACACATATACATACGCATATTTACACGTATACATCTATTGCATTTATATTATTTGCATATATACACCATTATATATTTCATATTATAGTTCCATTTTGTATTCCATCGTGTTGCACCATGATGTGCTATAGATATCTCACCATATAAAACTATATAGCTACTATCTATATATATATATATATATAACTATATAATGTTACAATTATCCTTTATATGTATATAATATACATGGAATATATCTATACTCCTATACTCCTATACTCTATATAAGTTCCAGATTGATTTCACCCGTCCCATTTCGTCCCAGGCGTCACGAAGGTGGCCGGCGGCGCCGGAGTGGTGAACAGCGGCAGTGGCCAGGCAGCCAGCGCCACCGCGGCCATCAACACAGGCGGTTTCTGCTGCTACAGGGGCAACGTCTTCGCCAAGGATATGTGTGCCTTGGCTGGCGAAAGGAGACATGGAAACAAAATGGTTAGACATCTCTAGGAAAAATAAATAATATATTTATATATCATTCATAAATATTCATAATTATAAAATGACATAGTCATAACATTCACATACTGTATGACCCTCTGGTAAACATGCAGAAAACTATGGAAAATCACCATGTAAATCATGGGTAAATCAACGAACTGTCGAACTGGCCATGTCCAATATCTATGTGAGATGAACATCTACCAGCTATGACTTGAGGTTCACTAGGTAGCAGGTTTTTGACCCATAGCCATGTGGCGAAAATATTGGTTGTTTAACGGTGAAATTCACGGTGATTTAATGGTGATGTTGTGTTTTTTTGAAAAAACTCTGGGAAAATCTGGGAAGGCATATGACGTTCTAGAAAAATAATCTACAGAACGTGTATAGACTATCTATAACTCTATGGTGATGTCAGCAAATTTAGACCCGTTTTGTTTTTTTGGAAATCCGTAGCATTGATGCCATGACCCAGGCACTGCCTGCGAAGACGTGTCTCAAGACATCGCTTGCGCCAACTCCAAGGGCTGTGGCACATGTGGAGGCGACTGGTGCAAGAACAATACGGACGGAGTATTATAATGTATATATTATAGCAATAAACATACTGTGGATGGAAGAAATCCTACACCACCTTGGATGGCTGAAACCCTATACATGGGATAAACCACCTATCAACTGGGTAAAACAACGCCATAAATTATTAGTTGGTGATAAACCATGCGGTATAAACCATTCCCATGCGGTGGAAAAATGGGGAGAAGCCAACGAAGTATGGGATTGTGTGGCCAATATGTTGGATTATGATGGGAAATTTGTTGGTGATATATAGTTTAGATATATACCTATTATTAATTTGTGATATACCCATTAACACTAGATATCCATTATATACCCATTATAACCATTATAACCATTATCATAAAGATGGTGATATAGCCATTAATGTGGGTAAAACGATGCTATAAACCACCCATGACTGGGAATGGTAAGCATACCACCTATAAAAATTGTGATGACTGGGGCATGGTTTATGACATTGTTTTGCCCACATTAATAAACGTGGATCGTTCATAGACAAACTATCATGATGGATGATAATATGATTACAGGACTACAAGAACATTCATTTAAGTATTAAATACTTAACGATATATGTTTTCAGTTTTCCAAGTTACTGTTCAGTATGGTTGTGATAAGTAGAAAGATCATTGTTATTTTTTATTATTATATTAACAATCTATTAATGATTATTGTTAGTGATCTATGTTATTAGTTTCTGAAAATATATTAGTATGTCAGAATCTAATTCATATCATATGAATAATAATGTATACATATCACTTCTGAAGGGATTTCTAACGAGGCTGGATGATTGAAATATTCATCGAATGACCCCCTAGCCATCTAGCTGGAACCTTGGTGAATAGCAGGTGGAATGCCATAGGAGACATGGCTTTCTGGCACAAAAAGGTGACTTGTTTGGGGAGTGCGCCTACTATCCAAAACTGGTTGGTGGTTTGGAACAGTTTTTATTTTTTCAATTCAATTGGGAATAGTAACCCCAACTGACAAATATATATATATATATTTTTTTTTTCAGAGGGGTAGGCTCAACCACCAACCAGATTATTAACCATCATGAAGACCATCATCATAACCATCATCATAACCATATAATAGCCATAGATTAACCAGATATTCCATGGGATATACCCATCATAACCATCATCATAACCATATAATAACCATCATAACCATCATCATAACCATGAATATCCACCAAGCAATGGTTTGGTCCTTGTTTGGTCCTGGTCCTCCCACTCTGCTCGTTGCTCCCAAAGCTGGTGCATCATCACCGAAAAAAGTAGGGAGTCATCCCCAGACCTGGTGATGTTTTCCCTTGAAAATCCCAGAAAAGTCTCCATTATAAAAAGAAGGTAAAACACCCATAATATAGATGGGTATTTTTCTCATACATATCCAATAAATGGTAAATCCCAGAAAAGTCTCTCATACATATCCAATACCCTCTGGTTATGACTAACAGTGTGCCACAGTATAGATGGCCCATTTATAGAGGTTTACCGTGCTTAAAACTGGTGATTTTCCATGGCTATGTTAAGTAACCAGATGGTAAATGGTAAATCCCATCAAAATACCCATTTATTGGACAAATACTAAAATCCCATAAAAAGTTTCACACTATATCATATAAAATCCCATCAAAATCTATCATAAGTCATATAAATCCCATAAATCCCATACATATCTATCATAAGTCATACAAATCCCATAAATCCCATATCATAAATCTATATCCCATAAGTCTCTTATAGAACCATCCGAGCTTGCCGCAACTCCGGTGAGGCACCTGGTGCGCCGGGCCCAGGTGTGTCAAGGCCTTCAGTGACTCGAAGAACAGAAACGACCCGGTCGGTCGGTCATCGTTGAATGGGATGTTTTCCCTTAAGACATGGGGATAGAATTGGGATACCCTCTGGTAATTTTACATAGCTATTGAAAATGGCCATTTATAGTGGATTTAACCATTAAAAATGGTGATTTTCCATAGTTACGTTAGTTTACCAGAGGGTATGATCCAAGAAAATGGGGATAGAGTTGGGATATCTATAGTTGATTGGTGGCGTTCAACTCATGAAAAATAGGGCTTTGACATGCTTTGACCAACAAAATATGAGGGAAAATGACGGAATATGACTATGAATCAGTGGAAAACCAACCATTGATGGGCATATAATGAGTTTTTTTTAATGGACATATAATGGGATATACCCTCCGGAAATCAAAGATTGCAAAGGAACAATATGGGCAATCTCTCACCCCATTGGAGCCTGGCAAAAGACCAGCAGCTGCCTTTGATAGTAATCCCATCCCCCTTAATATTCAACGCCCCAGAAAGCATGGTTTAGTGAGGGATTTACATCAACTTTGGGAGCATTTTTTTGGGCGTATTTAATATTAGGTGGATGGCCTATTCAGCTGTGCCTCAAAGGGGCACAGCTGAAATAATCGCATGTGGTAGCTGGTGGCAATCTAAGTTAGTATTGGATAAACCTGCAATGATTACATGTGATCATGGAATCCATTGGTTGCTAATCATGAATTGCAAGAAGGCATGAAACGTGTGTGTGTGTGTGCGTATGTTCGACTCTCATGTTATTGCTTCGAATCCAGTACCGTTTTTAGTAAACAGCCCATTTTAGCCTCGTGATAAATAGCTAATTTGTGGGGCGATCAGCTGCTGAGTAGGCTGAAACAATCTATCAAATGGGATTTTGGCAGCGGGCATCCCACCATATCAGTTTGATCAAAACCCCCCGGCACAATCCATATCATGTTGCCCGGGATGATAATGGATGATATGGATATAATATATATATATATAATATAATTTTATTTAACATAATATATATATAATATCTAATATATGATATATAATATATGATTTATAACATACAATATATAACATACAATTTATAGCATACAATATTTAACTTACAACATATAACATGCACTATTTAACATACAATATATATAGCATACAATATATAACAAACAATATATGACATACAATATTTAACATACGATATATAACATAGAATATATTACATACAATATATAACATAGAATATATAACATACAATATTTAACATACAATACATACATACATACATACATACATACATACATACCTACATACCTACATACCTACATACCTACATACCTACATACCTACATACCTACATACATGCATACATGCATACATACATACCTACATACCTACATGCCTACATACCTACATACCTACATACCTACATACCTACATACACACACATACATACATACATACATACCTACATACCTACATACCTACATACCTACATACCTACATACCTACATACCTACATACCTACATACCTACATACACACACACATACATACATACATACATACATACATTATTCTTATTGCTATATATATATATATTATCATATTCCATTGTATCCCTAGAAGACTCTCCTTGTACATCTATTGATGATTCAGTTCCATATATTCATTAAGACAGCAACCATTGTCATGACTTCACGTTGTTTTCTGTCACTGGAATGATGGTTGATATATGGGAGTCATCCCCATAGCTGGCCACAAGTTTCAGCCATTTTCAGGTGAGTGAGTTGTTATCATTATTATTGTTATTCAGCTAGATTTACAGAAGTTATGTGGGGTTCCATCAAGAACATTGAGACTATGGGATTTCTCATGATTTATCCATCATTTATAGCGATTTTCATGTGGATCATATCGAACTCAGTGGTGTTCCTTTCCCAGTGTCGATCAACGCCTCCTCAAGGCGATACGAAGGACCCTTGCCACTCGGCCTACAAGGGCAACGTGGCGCCCGTGAGCGACTACTGCGCCAAGACCGAGGAGAGGTGCACCGACTGCGGCGGTGCCGCTTGGTGATGCGCCATGAAAAGTGTCCGGTTTTTTATGTGAAAACATAGGAATTTCACCATGAAAAGTAGTGGTTTAATGGGATTTAACCAACAAAAATGGTGATTTGTTAATGGGATTTGTATGTATAATGTGGGTAAAGCAATGCCATAAATTTACCAACCATTTTCCTGGGAATGGTTTTTATAGTTTTATATATACCAGCTATAAAAATACTGATGACTTGGGGGATGGTTAATTAATGACATTGTTTTACCCACAAGGGAAATATGTTGGATGATTTTCATGGGAATATGTTGAGAAATTCCAATGATGTTTGTCGGATTTTTGTCGGGATGATGGTGTCAATATGTGTCAATTGACCCCGAAGATTGGTGTTTTTTTTGGATGGTGTTATAACGGCTACCACATGGCTACCCAAGATTGGTCAAAGTATGGGAATATCCTTAGGGATGTGGTGGAATTTGGTGAGGTATCGGTATATGCATGCTAATGGTTGATTGTAACAGGGAACAAACCATCAGATGTAAAATCCATATGACTGAGGGAATTACCCTCTGGTAAACAAACATAGCTATTGAATATGACCATTTATAGTGGATTTTCCCAGCTAGAAAATGGTGCTTTTCCATGGCTGTGTTAGTTTACCAGAGGGTACCATCCATAAAGCATCTATGACTTAGGGGTACCATGATTTCTTTCCGTTGAAACGATGGATGTTCCGGGAAAATCATGAAGTTTTCATGGAACTTGACCAGGCAAAATTGGTACCCAACAAGATACGTGCATAGTTTTAAAGGTACAAAAGGGTAAAACATTGATATAACCATGTGGTTGATGATTTTGTAGCATTTTTTGGTAGGAAAATCTATCGAACACCATGGATCGTCGCATCAAATAATATAGGCTGTTCCTTTATGTTATCCCGTAGGCAAGTTGGAATGGGATTCACCATGATGCAACCGTTGGCCCATTACTTGGAGCATGGGGTTGGTAAGTTCTTAAATCGTCGTTTTCTGTGGGTAAAATCAATGCCATAAACTTACCACCCATTTTCCTGGGAATGGCTTACATACCACCTATAAAAATGGTGATGGCTGGGGGATGGCTTTCGATGCACAGATGCA